GACCCCAAGCTAACCTCTGTGACCTGACGTGTCCCAGATGACCCTCATGACCTCCAATAGAGCTCTGTGAGGACCCCAAGTTGACCTCTGTTACCTGACGTGTCCCAGATGACCTCCTTGACCTCCAATTGAGCTCTCTAATGACTCCAAGCTGACCTCTGTGACCTGACGTGTCCCAGATGACCTCCAATTGAGCTCTCTGATGACCTTTAGTTGACCTCTATGACCTGACGTGTCCCATATGACCTCTGTGACCTCTAAGTGACCTCTCTGATGGCACCAAGCTGACCTCTGTGACCTGACGTGTCCCAGATGGCCCCAATGACCTTCAATTGAGCTCTGTGATGACCCCAAGTTGACCTCTGTCACATTGCCCCAGAAGACGGTAAATAACTTTTGAAAATACCTATCTCCAGTTTTAGTGTTTTCTGAACCAAAATTTTGCGAGGAATCCGATGGTGTGGTCCCCGAAACCTGAAAAATTTCCATTTTTGAGATAGCACCTATTTTTTGAAAAATAAATATTCGTCATGCATAATAGACAAATAAATTGAAAATATAATGAGTTAATTTTTTAACAACACTAGAATGCATCGAACATGAATAAGTGATATATTTTAGCTGAGATGATACCATATCTGCGCATACATGTACATGAATTAGTACATTAACCCTCGACGGCCGAGAAGGGGTGGGGCGGGTGCCGCCTCATAGGGTTTTTCGCGATAGCTCAAAATACGCCGAGGCTAGACAGCTGAAACTTGGCATACCTATTCTTTTATTCAAGCTGGATCTTTTGACACCAACCGCATTTTCAGGTCAGGTCAGGTCACTGAACTATGACGTCATAAATGAACCTCTGCAAGGGCCTCAGATGTTGCAACTTTGCAACGCCCTCAGTGCCAGAGGAACTTTTACAGGAAGATGAAACTTACAGGACGTAGTATCCTTCAGAGGCCTCATAACTTGTATATCTCGGATTTTACCTAAGTGTCACATGTGGTCAGGTCGGTCACGTGACCTCACCATTATAAGTCAATGGGGGAAATATGAAAGCTGTTATTTTGGCGCCAGAAATGATCTAAAACTATCCCAAGCACATGGAATCGTGGTTTCATGATCGAACCTTGCAAGAAGTGCGTGAAACCACGATTCCATGTGCTTGGGACAGTTTAAGATCATTTCCGGCGCCAAAATAACAGTTTTCATATTTCCCCCATTGACTTACAATGGTGAGGTCACGTGACCGAACTGACCTCATGTGACCTTTGGGAAAAATCCGAGATATGCAAGTTGTGAGACCTCTGGAGGATACTACGTCCTGTAAGTTTCATCTTCCTGTGAAAGTTCCTCTGGCACTGAGGGCGTTGCAAAGTTGCAACATCTAAGGACCGTGCAGAAGTTCATTTATGACGTTATAGGTCAGTGACCTGACCTGACCTGAAAATGCGGTTGGTGTCAAAAGATCCAGCTTGAATAAAAGAATAGGTATGCCAAGTTTCAGCTGTCTAGCCTCGGCGTGTTTTGAGCTATCGCGAAAAACCCTATGAGGCGGCACCCGCCCCACCCCTTCTCGGCCGTCGAGGGTTAATGTACTAATTCATGTACATGTATGCGCAGATATGGTATCATCTCAGCTAAAATATATCACTTATTCATGTTCGATACATTCTAGTGTTGTTACAAAAATTAACTCATTATATTTTCAATTTATTTGACTATTATGCATGACGAATATTTATTTTTCAAAAAATAGGTGCTATCTCAAAAATGGAAATTTTTCAGGTTTCGGGGGCCACACCATCGGATTCCTCGCAAAATTTTGGTTCAGAAAACACTAAAACTGGAGATAGGTATTTTCAGAAGTTATTTACCGTCTATTGGGGCAACGTGCTGTGACTTGATGTGTCCCAGATGACCTCCGTGACCTCCAATTGAGCTCTGTGATGACCCTAGGTTGACCTCTGTGACCTGGCGTGCCCCCAAGTTGCCCTCTGTGACCTGACGTGTCTCAGATTACCTCCGTGGTCTCCAATTGAGCTCTGTGATGACCCCAAGTTGACCTCTGTGACCTGACGTGTCCCAGATGACCTCTGTAACCTCCAATTGTGACCTCCATCTACAAATTTCTTACCTCTCTCTGACCTCAAACTCTCGGAACTCATTTCTTCTAAAGCATCGATTCTACACCTTTTTAGGCTCAAGTTCGAATAAGTCAAGTTCAAATTCGAATAAGTCAACTTCATATTGGAAGATGTCAAATACAAAATCGGATACCTCAAGCTCAAATTGAGATACGCCAACATCAAATTGGAAGAAGTCAAATGCAATTTCGTCTTACTCAAGATCAAATTCGAATACGCCAAATTCAAATTAGAATAAGGCAACTTCAATTTCGTCTTGTGTTAGTAGTGTTTGTTTATTTGCCATCCTTCATCACTATAAATAATTTCTTCGTCACCGAATGCATGACATTTTCAGTCACAATGCAAGTACTTTGATGATGGACGAATGCGTTTGTTTTCTTTTTACGAGCGCGTGAAAAATAAAATGTTGAGAAATATGTACGTATCATACTTATACGGTAAAATAGGTCCAGGGTAAATGCAAAGCATATGCAGTCTAAAATTAAAAAAATAAGCCTTACAATTGGAGCAAAAGTAATTGCACGCATACATATAATGACAATTGACTCGAAGCAATGGATGGCTTGGACACCGTCACGGATGTCAGCGATCTTGAGCTGTCAGACAGTTCCGCTACACGTGACCAGTTGGCCGCTACACGGCTCGCTCTCCCCGCCACTGCCCAGTCTGACATCGCCGCTGGCTGACAGCTTTGTGTAAATATGAGTTCATGATGGCGGGATATTTTTGCATACTATGGGCACAAGTTTTCAAATGGCAGATTTCCGTTTCGTGTCGAGCATAGACCGCGTCACCCTGGCAGAGCTGCGAAGTGCGTAATAAAAAACGGAGATATGTAGAAAAACACGGAACAAATAGTGCATGGACGCGTTTCGATTATTAAATCTTCATCAGCATGACATAATCACAGAGAAAACAAGATATAGCACACAAACATTCGAGCTCGTCACAGTGCAATCGTCGATTGCACTGTGACGAGCTCGAATGTTTGTGTGCTATATCTTGTTTTCTCTGTGATTATGTCATGCTGATGAAGATTTAGTAATCGAAACGCGTCCATGCACTATTTGTTCCGTGTTTTTCTACTTGTCTCTATCAATATACATTTGTCGGAGATATGTAGTTAATGACGCACAGTCTTTTATCGAAACAAGCCGGGGCGAGATGGGAGTCGACAGCCAAAGTCGATCGAAGGTAGATGGCGATTAGCAAATCATAAGAATAATAGCATAATATAATAATGATGATAATAATAATAATAATAATAGTAATAATAATAATAATAATAATAACAATAATAATAATAATAATAATAATAATAATAATAATGATAATGATAGGTAATGATAATGATAATAGCATCATAAGAATTCTACTTATTTACGGTAGGTAGCTGCGATGAAATTGAATTTGTCTTATTCTAATTTGAATTTGGCGTATTCGAATTTGATCTTGAGGAAGTCGAAATTACGTTTGACTTCTTCCAATTTGAAGTTGGCATATCTCAATTTGAGCTTGAGGTATTCGATTTTGCATTTGGCATCTTCCAATATGAATTTGACTTATTCGAATTTGAACTTGACTTATTCGAACTTGAGCCTAAAAAGGAGATGCCCTATAGCCACGAACCTCCTGTGATCGATCCCAAATTTTATGGCAAATCACGTGAGCGTTAGCAACCACAAGTCACCCAGTTAATACAAAGCTTCAGAATCAGAGAACATGCTTGACCTTGCTGTCTCATAAGCTCGCAAACCAGAAAGGCGAATGTTCCTTTATGCGTGATAGAGTTTTCGACCTTACTGACGTTTACTACGGGATCAGCTGATCTTGTAGCCTTTTAAATTCTCGAGTAAAGCGGGTATTTAAGCCTCGTCGCAGCTACGTTCTGTCGTATCCTCCGACAAACCCCTCTTTCCTCAACATCCCTCCTTTTCCGCTACGACACAACTTGCGACGGCATATGTGTCGTAACTTGCGACGTGTCGTAGATGGACTTGCGACGCCCTGGATCCCCCCGGCCTAAGTGTCGTTTCAGGCGGTTTCAATGCCAAAGTAAACTCACTTTTTGTTTCAAACTATCGCGGGAATCGTTGTCACCCGCCGTCTCCCCTCGGTAATTAATACGATAGAAGATGAAAAAAGTTGTAAATATTGCTACACTAGTTCACCAGCACCCTTAGCATATTAAACATAACTTTTATCAGTTAGTTGGTGTCATATTTTGATAATCTACCTACTTTTTGCAGGATAACTGGATTCAAGTTTTTGTGTGAACGGGCGTGTCCCATAGCAAAAGGGCCCAGAAAAAAAACGTACTCGCGATTACTTTTGACGACAAGAGCAATAATCTCATTGCGCTTCTCTTAGAATCCTTCGATGGTTTCAACACCTTTCTAGTGAACTGAAAACTTAAAGTGGCTTACATAGGCGCGGGAGCCGGGAAGCAGTGGGGGCAGCTTGCCCCCCCAACTCTGGGGCCGTGGGGGCGGTGCCCCCACAGCTTTGAGACGGAATACCACACTTTTTTGCAAATGTTTTCTTTTTTGTTGAAAAAGCCGAGGGATGAAAAACAAGTGGCCTAAAACCGGTGAGAAAACTAGATTTGGGGGTACCCTAGGTTGATCTCTATTATGGTGTGCCCCCCAGTCGGAAAGTAGTTCCCGCGCCCCTGGTGGCTTATAGGTTGAGTGGCTAAACCTGTTCTGTTTTCATCCACCCCTGATCACTCTGACAACTGGGAATGTGAGAGAACTAATGTAATATGTTATAAATCAATCCGGCCCGCTGGCAATGAATATTCATTAGTCCAACTTGTCAAGTCCCTGAGGTTGTTGTATGTTTAAACAGGAATCACTTCTCGGCAGTTGTATTCTGCTTCGGACTGGCATATTCAATGACACATCTTGACATATTTCGTAATCGCATGGCACACAAATAGATATTTATACAGGTAACAGTAGCACTTCCCAGTCATCCAACGAGCGTTCGATCTCAGTGTCGTTTGCATAGCACAACAGTTTTGGCAGGCAGACAGATGGCACTTAAGAAACATACAAAACAATCACATAAATCAAGACCTCTACACAGCGCTTATCACGTTAATATACATTGTAAGGCCCATGTTCGCACAGCTACACATTGGAATGAAAACTTTGCGTGAGCTCCGCAACGGCAGTGTCTCAAGGCACAGACTGTGGAAAGAGCAGGCCTCCTGAGGGCCTCAGGTGAACGCAGTCACCTCACCAGGGCCTCCAGTGGACCTCACCAGGGCCTCCAGTGGGCCTCCTCGTCGTGGTGACGGTTGTGCGCCACCAGGTCGAGCGGCTGCGGGCTGTCGGCACGGCCGGCGCACGAGCCGAACGACCGCTCCGACGAGCAGGGGCTGGGCGAACAGCGCGTCTCGGCCGGGTCCCAGGAGGGCGCCGGGCTGGCCGAGCCGACGCTGCACGAGGAGGCCTCCGAGCCGCCCACGCTGGCCGCGGCCGGCTCTGTGTTCGTGGCGGCGGCCGGGGTCGGGGAGCCGAGCAGCAGCCCGGCCGGCGCCGGCTGCACGATGTAGCCGAGCTCGCCGCTGGGCAGCACGGCCGGCACCAGCTGCACGCCGGCGGGGCTGAGCACGGCCGGAGCCGGGTCGGACCGGTCGGCCGGCGGGGCCTGCGGCCGGTACGCGCCGGCCAGGTGCACCATCAGCCGCTGGCGCAGCTCCGGCTCCGGCTCCGGACGGCCGCTCAGGAAGGCGGCCACCTCGCGCGCGCAGTCGGCGTACCCCTCCTGGAAGCGCGCCGCTGGGGCGGCCGGCCGCGCCTGCAGGGAGCGCAGGTGTTTGACGGCCATCTCCAGAATGTCGGCCTTCTCGAGCTTGGAGTGACGAGCAGGATCCTTCTTGAGACCCTCCAGCACCAGGCTCTTCAGCTCGTTCAGACAGTCGTTGATGCGCGCTCGGCGCCGCTTCTCCATGATGGGCTTGTTTACCTGTGGGACGAAAGAATGAACCGTAACTATCCGCTGACCGACATCAGACGGTCGCCGACAAAAGACTGCAGCACCTACGAGACATATGTATTTGAATAGAATGCCTGGGATACTAATGACTTGTGGCCTCGACTTTATTGTCCAAAGGTTGGATTAAACAGCGATGACAAAGTTAACCAAATTATTTTTTAAGACTGTTAAAAAAAATAAGAACAAAATAAAATGCAGAGGACTTCACTCACCCTCCTGGTCTCCGAGATCCTCCCGCTGCTCGGCATGGCTGCTATTCTGTGAGCTCTTCTCTCCAACTCGCTCGCTCGACCAAGTCTGCTCTCCGCTCGCCGAAACACGCCCAGACCCTTAGACTCGTGGCACGCGACTGGCTGCCGGCCGTCTCGTGCGCTCGGTGTTGGCAGCGCGACACCAGCGCCCTCTGCATCGGCGGTAGTCGTGACGTCAGAGGTGGTCCGTGGGTCACGTGGCGCGTGTGAAGGCGGCGGTCGGCCGGTCGCGCGTCAACCCCCTCCCTCCCCCTCCTCCGTCGGTGGGAGTGGTATTGAGCGACCCGCGGTAGGTGGGTGGGTTGGAGGAGGGGGGGGGGGGGGTGACAGATGACGGTCGGTGGTTTTGGCGGCACGTCTCGGAGCTGCAGTCGGTCACGCGGCGGGCGGCTGATGACAGGTGACACTTTGTGACAGACGGGCGGAGGCTGCTACCGGCTGCCGCCGAACGGCGACCGGTTAGCACGAATTGATTTCGAGAAAGTAGACATATTTTCACAATTACCTGAAACGTAAAATTAAGCATGCAGGTAATCTTTCTACTAATGGTCACTAACAGTAACGGTAAATAAATGTTATGCATACGACTATTAGGTACCCTTGCGCCTTACTCCAAGCTAATTGGGATCAGGACCCACTACCCAGGTCGGATAGTTGAAAGTTAACGTTCATGGCTACCACATAAGGATTCTGATCAGTTTTCCTTATGATGATGTGTGCACGTTTCAGATAAATGTATGTATGTATGTATGTATGTATTGACACCAAAAGCCTTCCACATATGGCGTGGCGATTACGGCTTAGATCCGAGTATAATGGGTAACAATCATGCGGGCAGGGGGAAGAACACTCAGCACTAGACGACAGTCATCCATCGATGGGGTCGCGACAATAATCATCTACATATGTCCATAAGGCAAACAATATATATACATAAGCACAAACAGATCGTCCACCTATTGGCGGCAAGCCTTGTCTACTACTAAACAGACTCGTCAGCGGCGCAGCGGGGATTTGTCAATCAGCGCGGCCCTGGCAGACCGGGCGAAGCTGGCAGGTGGCAGCTGCACTACCTGGGGTGGGAGGCTATTTAACAGCGCCGCGGCGCGGTACTCAAAACGCCGTTTTCCGGTTTCAAGCCTCGGTCGGGGAAGATGAAGGAGATGATCCTGCCGTGTGTGCCGGTCTCGAAAATTTTGATTTGGGACGAACAGTGCAGCGAGGTTCTCGGGCTCTTCATGCTTAATGACCTTTTGCGCGATCGTGAGTGTCAGGTAATCTGACATGGATTTTGGTGATAGCCAGCCAAGTCTGTCGTGCAGGTCCGAGACGTGGTCAAACTTACGCCGTCCGAAGATCACTCTAGCGGCAAAGTTCAAAATTTTCTGGAGTCGGTCAAAATTTTTCTGAGTCCCGTTACCGTACACAGTGAGGCAGTAGTTGATTCGTGATATGACCAGAGATGTAACGAGAACTTTAATGACGCCGTCAGGGAGACAATTTCGTGCGTGAGACAGTCCGATCAACAAGCCAGTACACCGACGACTAAGCTCGGACACATGTGCTTCCCAGGACAGGGCGCTGTCAAAGACAACACCCAGATTCCCCACCTGCTCGCATGGCTGCAACACAGAGTCACGAAGAGAGACGCTGAAGTCGGGTACTTTCCGTAAATTTTGTCTGCTGCCAAAAACCATGAGTTGTGTTTTGTTTGCGTTTAGCTTGAGAGCGTGAAGACAGAACCAGTCACTGATTGATGCGAGTGAAGCTTCCATGCGAGAGATAAGCGATCTGAGGTCGTCGGCACGGCCGCTCACTAGAACCTGGGTGTCGTCCGCATATTGGAAAACGGTGGCGTCACCTGCGTATAGCGAGAGGTTGTTCGAAAATATGGTGAAGAGTAACGGTCCCAGGGCAGATCCTTGGAAGACGCCCATATTATTTGGAAGCGGCCGCGACAGTACTCTACCTCCGGCGCCATTAGATAGGGACACGCTCTGGGTGTGTCCCGTGAGAAAAGCAGAAAACCAAGAGGTCTCGATCCCGTGCATAGCCAGTTTTTGAATTAAAAGTTCGTGGTCGATGACATCAAAGCATTTGCTTAAGTCAAGGAGACACAACAGTGAAAGTTCTCCCCTATCAGAGGCTGCGAGGATTTGGTCTGTGACGGACAGCAGAGCGGTCTCTGTGGAGTGTCGGGGGCGAAAACCATGCTGCGAGGAGGCAAGGAGATAGTTATTTGAGAGGTAGTGGTAAAGCTGTTGATGTACAAGGCGTTCCACAACCTTCATAATCACGGGGACTAATGAGATTGGTCGAAAGTTGGTGGGATCCGAGGGGCTGCCAGATTTGAAAATGGGGTGGACTGTGGAATGTTTCCAGGAATCGGGGATATCGGAGTTGGTAATACACGTATTGATAATGTAAAGTATGACGCGACCGATAGCTGAGAAGCCGGACTTTAACATTCGGATGCAAATGCCATCAGTCCCACTGGCGCCTGAGTTGCGCATGCCGAAGATAGTGTGACCGAGTTCGCCGAGAGTGACCGCGCGGAGCTGAAAACGACATGCACCGACCCGGGGGAGGCGAACGTTCAGATCGGTAGCGGTGTTGAGAGACCGGACCTCCGCAGCGATGCGAGGTCCGACAGAGACGAAAAATGAATTCAGTTCATCGGCGGGTAAATTAGGCTGCACACTAGGACCGTCCTTTTTCCCTGCTACAACTGTCCTGATAGACTGCCAGACCTTATTGGGACCCCGCTCGCAGATATTTCTCTGTAACTCCTCTCGCCGGTCGCGGCGCAGCGCGGCCCGAACAGAGCGATTCAGCTCCTTGTAAGCTGTCGACTGACGACCAGACAGTCGTAGCGAGGCGCGGCGCTGGGACATAAGGTTCCGTGTGGCAGCAGAGGCCGGGGGCGCTGTGGGGTTCCGAATGGTAATGCGCTTGAGTGGTGCGTGGTCGTCGATAATAGGCAAAAAATTGGACACGAATGCATCCCACTGATCACTAACAGTCGCGGCGGTAAACACAGGCTCCCAGTCGACAAGCTCCAGATCAGAATTAAGGGCAGTGACATCAACACGGTTGAGCGAACGAGCTGAGATGATTGTAGGCTTCGGACGCAGTTTGGGGACGTTGACATCTACGCTAATAAATTTATGCGGACTAAAATGACAAAACTCAACGCGGGTGTTAGAGAAGAGGTCCACCTTGTTCACCATACACACGTCTAGGAGCGAACCGGAAGTGAAAGTCGAAGTTGTTACTAGCTGGTCTAGGGAGTAGTCCGATAGGAAGCTGCTGAGATGTTGTCGTGCACGAAAGTTGGGTTCTTTCTTCAGCAGGTCACAGTTTATATCACCGCAGATGACGAGCGGGGTCCTAGGGTGATCGATAAGTACTCTTTGTAGCTGATTTTCAAGGTCGGCGAAATCGGCACATAAAGCGGTTTCGGAGTGGTGAGGGGGGCGATATAAAGAACATACGATGAGTTGACGACCTTTGTCGAGCTTGAGCAGCGCCCACTTTGACTCGAGCTGGCTGCAGCCGCGCTCAAAACTTGGGAACTTGATGGGCACTGATGTGATATCCGATTTTGTTGCGATTGCGACGCCGCCGTACCCGCGGCCATCAGGTCGGTCTGTGCGGCTGAGGGAGTAGCCTGGGAGCACTAAAAGTCTGTTTGGCGTAGAAGGGCGTAGCCAGGTCTCCGACAGTAGTACGACATCGTAATTGTTTTGGCGGAGTTCATAGGTCAGGTCCAATAGTTTAGGCTTAAGGCTTTGAATATTCAAGCTTCCGATACGAAGATTCCGATGGTGGTTTTCTGTCGTTTCCGGTCGGCTCCTGCCCCTGCCGCGGCCACCGCGGGCGCCGCGGCGTTGTGGACGGCGTCCGCCGCTGCGGGCAGGCTTGGGGCGCGGGGAGACGCTGGTGGGCGGGGCCTGGGCTGCCGGCGGCGCGCCGTGGGACGCGGGCAGCGCGAGCGGCCGCTCCCCACCCTCGCGGGCCGGCGGGGCTCTCAACTGGAGGGGAGGGTGAGGCGACACGGCCGCCGGCTGGCGTCCGTGGGGCTCTGCGCGCGGCGCGGGAGCGCGGTCCGTCGTCCCTGGGGCTCGGGAAGATTTGAATGCCGGCAGCCGTTGGGTGGCTAGAGCTGGGGCCAAATCACTAGTAGAGCTCGATGAAAACCGAGAAAAGTTCCGTGGGAAAGCAGGTTTTCTTTTGGTGAGATGGTGCCTGAGCTGGTGATCCGTCACTCGAAGTGTAGACCTGGATGGCGGCGCTGGTGCCGGGCAGGCCACAACGGTCAGTACCCGCACTACGGCGAGCAGAACCAGGAGACGGGCGATGTCACGGTGCATGTTGAACGTGAGATGGGAGTAACAGTCCACAAAGAGATCTTGAGAGGTTCCAATCGACGTATCCTCGTAGAAAAACAGTTCAAAAGTAGCACGTTGACATCTATCGCCCCCCTCACCACTCCGTAGGTACCGTGATAGTTTCACCGAAATCAAAATAAACCTAAAGCAGGAAAAACTTCAAAAGGTACGGTACGGTATCGGATCCTGTATCCAGATCTCACCAGGATAGATTCAGACTGCGAGGCGACATCGGTACCAAGAAAGAAGCCTGGGGACTTCGATGCAGCATCCAACCGCAGGCGCTAGCACCAGAGACTGCGACGCAGCATCCCAACCAAGAGGATAACACCAGAGACTTCAACGCAGCATCGCGACTTCACGGATAACACCAGACTGACTTGACAGTCGGTCCATTCATTTTCTGGTCAGCAACATTTTCAATTTGTATGATGACTGATGATTGATGAATGTTGTCACTTAGGTAAGTAAGCATTAGCGAGTATGATGATGAAATTTAGAGAACCGATTGCCTACCGTTAAGAGGATTTTGCTTCCATGTTTGAAAGTGCTCGGTTTTGTTTTTCTGTGACGCACTTCATTGTTTCACTGCAAGTATAACTATTTGACATTTTTATCTTCATTCGATGGACATGCACGTTCTATAATTGTGATTCATTCGAAAATCCATTCCATTGAGCGATTTTCACTTTGTCCTGCCAACATTTGGTTCCGTACACCACGTCTGTCATGAGACTTAGACCAGTGCAGTGCTCAGCAGACTCTGTGATCTCGCCGTGCACCCTAATCCGCGGCCTTGAGACATCCGTGGCGTATGTGCAGCTCAGACAGCGCAGCCGACACGTCACACACGCACCATCACACGGCGCGGATAAGCCGTGTAAAAAGTGCTCCGGCACGGCGCAGCAGCGGCCGGGACGTCCACCGGTCACCCTGCTGGGCAATCCCCGTCAGTAGTCCGGACCAGTGGACCGTGCAGAAAAAGGCCGCCGCGCCCGCGCCGGGCCACCGCGCGGCTCGCTCGGGGTAAAAAGTGGCCGAGAGTGGCGGTGGCCAGTTTTTGTCTGGCGCGTGTCAGCTTAGGAAGAGGAGCCGGGACCCGGGCGTCAACAGGCTGGTAATGACCGCGACAGCGCTCCAAGGCGGGGGGAGGCGGGGTGTTACCGAGCGGTGGTGGGGTAGGTGCAGTGGTGGGATGGGGGCAGAGCTGCATGCATCGCGCGGCGTCTTGCGAACAATCCTGGCAGTCGGGGAACATATCACGGTAGTAAGAATTGAAATCAATGCTTTACAGAAAATATACCGAATAACTTGATGCAGACGGTGTGGCACAACATTTTATCAGAGCTCGACGACGCATGTGAACAAAAAAGTGTAAGTCCTGATAGTTTCAAAACTTTTCAAAACGTTTCAAAGCCTTCACACTTTATCTGACTAGTGAGAGCCAACCCACATTGTTTTCCTTCTAGATCACGGTCATAACCAATGTCCCAAAATTTGTCGATTTGGCTGGGAAACGACATCCAAATGAAATTCATTTTCCCACTCACACCACCAATTTTTAAGAACAATTTTCCACTCCCACCAAAAAAAAACCTAGATTTTTTACCTATAGAAAGAGCAGTTGGGTGGATGCCCAGTTCAGCATCAAGCATCCTACGTTTTTCACTCTTCTTGGATCTAATCGAATCAGCAGTTTTTCACTCTCTCCCCTCTTTTTGGTGGGTAATTTCCCCTCTGACACCCAAGACAAAACTCAATTTTGGGACACTGGTCATAACGGACAGAAAGATAATACTGGACTGTGTGTTGACCTCTCGGCTCTCAGATATATAGGAGCCGGGGCCAACGTAATCACTTCCCGTAGGTATGGGACTGCAGTTAACCCGTCTGACAACAAAACGCTACCTACGCTACAGTCCATGCAAATATTGGTAGACAGTTTTTTTTTTACCGGCGCCCAACAGCATTTTCTCTTGTTTACGCTGGCCTTCCAAATGCCTTTCACTTGGGGACTTCGAACAATTTTTTTTCTCCAATAACTCAGGCTGAGTGCGCGTTCATTCCTCGGGGCTGCTCGCACAATTTCCTTTTTTCTTTAACCTATATGCTCATGTCTTTTAAATCTGTATAATATTAACAAGCACGCGTGCTGCTGGTTCAGAAAGCCACTAAAACTCCAACTCTCCCTTCCACTACTCCATGCGCCTGCACGCTGCAGC